CCTTTCGGGTTTTCCCCTGCTTCGTATTCTTCGGCAGACTCGTGGGGCTCTAGCCCTTAGAACTATATTCGAGACTTCTGTAATCCAACTTCTCGTGGTCGAGCGGCGGGTCGATGGACCCGACGTGAGTTAATTTCTTACTAACCTTTTGTATTTCATTCATGAGTTTCGGTTGAGTAGTTCAGTAGAATGAATTAGAAGTTAAGTCATAAAACTTATTAGTTCTTTGTGTTTGCGTCGTGTAGCAATATGGGTGTAAGCCCGACACATACATTTGTTGGTATTTAAACTAGTGTTGCTTAGGTTAATCGGTAGGACTCAAAGTAGGATGTAGGATGGTTGTTGTTAGTCCACTTGCGCCCCAGTAGGTTCTGCAGAGCCGGCTGGTAGGCTGTCAATGCTTTATCTCTTATTTGGCTCCTGGTTTTCCCCCTTGGGCGCCCTAAGTCTCCTCCTGGACCCACCGATCCGCAACAAATGCCTTGCCTTGTTTATCCTTCACCGTATACTTTCTCAATGACAAAAAAAACTTACTCGGTTAGTAATATTCTTCTCAGGGCTTCCTGAATCCCTGCTTTCCTTACTAGTCTCCCGATATGATTCCGTGGCGCCAGCCAGGAGGCAAAACGATTGATCCATAAACGTCTGATAAAGCACTTGCCCTCTTAGTTTCACTATTGTACCTGGAAAAAGATAAAGCGATAAGGTGCAGCAGTCACGTGACATGTTTCTTCTATATTGAACTGATTCACAGCAGAGCCACGCAAATCCGACGCCGTATGTAAATTGTTTTTCAAAGTTCCATTATATTTTACTCATTTCCAAATCACGGCTACTGAGATAAGCGTGAAAATGCTCCCACAAAACTTCGCAACACGGCTACGCCTTCTGCTGGACTACAGCAGCAATTTATATTGAAAAAGACGATACAGCAAAACTACTCTCCAGGGGAACACAATGCTCGACGGGACAATCACATGGGGGTGTACACGTATTCGAAGTTGACGACATGATAAACAAACTTGACGACATAATAAACAAATTTCCGAGACCCTCGAAAATCCATTATATGTGTGGAAAAGTGGTTGTCATATGTTTACGTGGGTCACAAGGAACCAAAAAAATACTCGTGAAAATAAATTTACTTTACTTTACTTTATTACATATCTACGAAGACATGTAAAAGGGCTGCAAATTTCTGAAGTATGTTGAGAAAATCGCCATTCAGAGCGATTTCAATGGAAAAAAATCCATCAAAAGAAATAACCTATGATGAAAGATGTGCATGGTTTCCACCCATCACGATGGATCACGTACAGGACCACATCTGGTGAATTAATTCTATGAAAACAATGAATTTTGACTTGTTTTTGTTTATTGATATGAAAATATAAGATAACGAACATATGAATATGAACTTCTATGAAAACAGTCAGTTGTCCGTGTATTGGGTCTCCCTTATAGGGTGAATTTATGATGGACAGTTAACTTACTGAAAAACCATTTGAAACGGCCCAGAAACCCGAGAAATGGGACCCCTTCCTTGCCCGTTGATTTGCGCATTGATGCGACTCTCATCGCTGTGCCCTCTTCAACACTACGCTCTCTCTGCTATCTAATCACTCGCCACGTATAGACCTGCGGCGAGTGATTAGATGTCGGTGGGCGTACCCCGCCAACCGCGCCAAGAGTGAGCCATGCTAGATCGCCGAGGTCAAATCTTTCGCTGCCAATTGCGCGTCGGTCAGCACCCTCAGGAGGTCCGCCTTTCTCCCAACTTGCATGCGAATTTTTCCCCTTCTTCTCCATCGTTTATCCGTGAATTGGAACTTTTAGGTAACGAGACGTTTTCAAGTGGTGGGAGTCATACAATGCAAGCCAAGCAGATTCAATATACTAATATCCAGCCTGCTTGTTAGGCAGAGTAGTGTAAGGTAGTCTTTCTTCCTCTCTGTACGAAAATTGGACTATAGGCGTCATATAATTTTGAGTCCACAGCATCAAGGAAGTAGCGGGCGAGCATTTTCGGCATATCTTGTTTCACTGTTTCAAAAAAGGAAGCGAGCTCTTGGCGCCGACGCCCATAGCGCAGAATAATTTCACTCATTAAGAAACTGATTGATAGCTCAATGGTTTTACGGGCCATTACTTACACCTGACGACAAGTATCCAGGCGAATATGGTAATTAGGTTTGGTGGCGCTTTGGCACCGGCCTCTTGGGCGGACGCACGCTTTTAGCCAAACTATACAGGGGGGGGGCCAAAAAAAAAGACATTTTGCCTATGTCGGACTTCGGCTCTTTTTTCTTCGCAGAGATTGCTGTCGTTGACGGGAGTTCCTCAGCAGAGTATTCCCTAAGTGTTCCTCTATTAGTGTACGCAGGCTCTCCTTCACTGCCCTCACCGTCTTCAGAATATGACGTCATCTGTCACCGTCGTCAGGCTCAAGGAGGTCTACCGTAAGAGCTTCAGCCTGAAGCTCTTACGCAATTTCGTGAATCGATTTAATGTTGGATAGTTTTCTAGAGGCATTAGCTACCACTGTGCAAATCCCCTCGGAACTAGCTTTCCAGTAAGGGTCGTTATGGTACACGATCCTTCGAAGACCCCATTGAGATCGACCAGTGCACCATGTTTCCAGGGCTAATTCTTCTGATGCCGTCCACGTACGTGGCCACTATGAAGATTTTCTTATAGAATGGAATGCACTCTTTAATAATAAGTTGGAACCGTTCGGTCTGAGTTGAGTAAAATGTGCTTAAATCCATCTGGAAGTGGAGGCAAAATGTCTTTTTTTTTTTTTGCCCCCCTGT